GTCACAGACTTACCAAACCAGCCCAGTTTTGTACTACTTCAACTGTGGCTTTTACTCACATTTTGTTAGGCTCTCACATCAGGGCAAACTAGTCTGGATTTCATCTTCACTAGCTCCGAATGCACTGGATTGTAAGAAGAGAAATACTAACTGACAATTCACGACAATCACATTAAATTAACCTTATTAATTGCCTCTACCACCTTTTCGAGAGAATACTTCATTACCAATTTTGATAGAAAAATGCATTTCCAGACTCCAAAATCCAGAATATCTGCTGATATTGATATAGCATTCCCAATCCATATTCATCCAGTCACCAGCTGCCAGGCTGATTGTATTTATTACCAAAGGTAATAATAAAACAGCACTGTAGTAGAACACAGTAAGAACCACCATTCAAGTGCACCATGATCTGATAGAATTACAATTCAAGCTTTACTTTTTTTTTTCACAAGTAACTGAAGAGACACATCAACTCTGAACTTAAATTATTTCACTTTTTAACTGTATCTCAAGAAAATAACTTACAATTAATCAAGTTATATGAACTACACTATTCAGTGAGCAAAGTGTGATACAGGCTGAGTAGTAAACACACCAAGGATTTTCAATTTGAAGAAGTTGCATTCAACTGAGAACAATCACCAACTCATAAAAAATTACAGGCTTGACAATAATACATATTGAAAAGCAGCTTTAAGCAATATTTTTTAAACGTAGCCCTGAGAACACACTTTAAAAGCTTCCTGTCAGAATTACAACTAACAACCTGACTGTGCTTTGCAAACAGAATCACATTTCCACACTAAACTATTGCCTTAACAGGTTGCATAAGCACAGTGATATAAGCCTGAACAAAAGCTTGCTGTGATTGAGTTTCATATTAAAAGCTGCACCTCGACAAATGGCAGAACACGGCTGTGTGCAACTACTTGCATCTGCACCTCAAACAACTGGGGACACCTTTACACAGGTTTTACAACCCTCTTCTTACAATCAGTGCCTTTAGAGTCTCCTTGACAAACACTCTTCCTAAGATACTACCCTTTCCACCTAAAGTACTTGCTCCTGCTTTAAAAGCTGATCAGACTGGAAGCCATGTTATCCAACTTCTGCTTGAAATAGCGTCTGGGAGAAGATCCCATTTTCCACCATGACCCACAGAGGGCCCAAAAAAAGATCAATTTAACACAATTCAAACACCAATTAACAACAGAGATGACAAATTACCAGTAATTCTTATTTTTGTGATGATGTAACAGATCAACACAAGTCTGCAATCTTCCTACTGCATTTTTCCTCTCACCTGTTCAGCAGAACTACATAAGGAATTGACTCACAAATACAAAGAGCTCCTATTTTACTGAATTCAAATCTAGTATTCTCAAGAATACGGTTGCTTTGAAGAAGAAAATTGTTCCCACTCAGGAAACAAGAAGCAATTTAACTAACAGCCCCATGAACACAAGAAGATATTTCTTAAAAGGAAGAATTGTGAATTAAAAACAAGAACTAGAAGAATGAATTTAAATATCTTAAAATACAGGAAAATAAGGAAAACTAGACTAATTTTTTCACCTGTCAATTTGAATGTACAATCCTCGTCACATTTTAAGATTCTTTTTTTTTTTAAGTTTTGCAGCTGAAAAATAACTTGAAGCAGATGCTTCAGTAATAAAATAGCACAGTGCATTGCAAGTTATATGAGCATCACTTGCTTACTTAAGGAAGTTTTCAAAAAGAGTTTAGTTTCAAAGTGTCTTTGTTTTATCAAAGCAAAATGAACTTCCTTGAAAAATTAAGGATATTGTATCTTCTGAGATAAACCACAGCCATTTTCTACAACTGAGTAGCATTTCATTAAATCCAGACAAGAATTGAAAGTCATACCTAGACAAAAGTCATTTAGATGAAATCTGCTGTTGAAGTAATGACTTCTAATAAAGGTTCATCTTTAGTTCATTCTTGACTTCATTCACAGATAAAAAAAAAAACCCTGCCATTGCAGAGCAGCAGCAAAATTACTCTTCAGAGATTTTAAGCAAGATCTCTGCTGGCATGGACACCTAAGGTTGGCGGGAGCTCAGTAAAAACACAACATAAACATGTATGGAAGAATTTCAATTGAAACTGTCTACCTGCACAAGGACAGTTCTTTCCAGGAATATCTGAAATACAAGTGCTTGACTGTACAGTCCCGGTGAAAATCTGATTCCCCTAGAACAGGGGACCCAAAGAGGTGGGTTTAGAGAACACAAACAGCACCACCTGCCCCATCACGAGTTCCAGATAAATGCACTATCCTACAGGGTCTCTCCTGAGAAACATCAAGGATCAAACAGAGAAGAAAACTGTTCTCCCTGAAGGGAACAAAAAACCACAGTTTAGTCGCAAAAGCCACATGAGGTCTCCTCATCATCAGAAAGGACCACACCAAGAAAAAAGCAGAATCATTAGATGGCATTGTTGCTGCAGTCATACCACAGCACTCATCACAGTAGAATTTAAACAAGGAAGTATGTGAAAGGGAAAGGCATTAAGGTCTTGGTTAAGAGTACATTTATATAAAGAGCAATATTAGAAGCAAGATTATAAATTACATGAACATCCTAATACCCAGTGGTATTAGCACTTAACAGTCCTCTGCATCCATACATTTAAGGTGCAAGCTTTTTGTGCAAGGCAGCTCCAAAACTGATACAGGATAGTTTTAGAGAGAGAACAGCCTCCAGCAGAAAGCATTTCCCCTTCAGTTTTCTTTTTCAAGACAGCAACATCTGATGAAACTGGGATACCTCAATTCATTACAGCAGACCTGGGTTTCTCATAGCATGATCAAATGACTCAACCTTTCTTCTGCAGTCCAGAACGGGTCAGTTCACCACTAACTCTCAAGCAGGGAGGGCAATTTTCCACAGCAGCACTCAGTAGCCTCTACTCAACACCCACAAAGGGCTGTGGGACCTGAGCTGGATGCACAGGTCCTCAGGCTTCCTGAATAACACACTCCTCTCTTCCACCATAGACCACTGCCAGCTTCCACAGAAACACAGAACTAGGGTAATGCCTTTCCTCTGAGAGACAAAATTATCCTAGTGTATGTACTCTGATCTCTGTTTCAACATGGCACCTTTAGAATTCATCCAATTTTGTGAAAACCATCAGGGAGTGTGACTCGCCCTCCTCTCTGCATTAATTGCTACACATGCAAATGTTTACCCCCACATGAAGGCTTTGTGCCTACCTTAAGCACAAGAGGATATGTAAATGAACCTCAGATACTTGGCTTCAAATATTGTGTCTCAAGTGCTGAATCCTGCTCTAAGTCACTGGATTTGTCACCATTTTCATTCATTCTGCTGCAGAGAAAGGACCCCTCACCATGCACAAACCGAGTCAAAACATTGCCATTAATTCCTGCTGGAATTAGAGACATTAGGGATCCAGGCATTAGGGATTCATCACAGTCATGTGAAAAAACTTGATCCAGCAATAAGTTGTCTTCTTGTAAGCATCTGTTAGATTTTGATCAGGAAAGCTCTTTGGGAAGGTAAGGCCACAGACTTAAAAAAATCAGTTTTGTAAGAGTACATCCACCTGTCAGTCCTCTCATCCTCAGCACTAATGCTCTGTAATTCAAATAAAGCAAGACATCTGAGGCACTTAGAGGCATCACATCGCAAAACCGCAGACAATGGTTGAGTGCACACAGAGCAGCAACACACATCCACTTTGCACTAGGGTGTAATGAACCCATTGGAAACTCCATGAAGGACTGGAAAAAGATCACATCAGTTCTGTCAGTATGAGCTGGGATGTCCTCCATGTGTTCCACTGGGGAAAGAAAAAAAAATCAAAGCACAAACTGACACTCACCAGAGGCCAGGCAATCCTGACTGGAGACATAAAATAAATACAACAGCTGGAGGAAGAGCTCCAGCCATAGTTGAACAGAGACTCTGAAACAAATCTATAGGAAATCACAGTTTAACAGCTTCAGGAGCACTGAAAAAAAAATTAAGTCCGAAGTACACTTTTCATCCAGCTTCAATCCTCCCACCACAGGCAGCGATACCACCCCTAGATCAGGTTGCTCAGGGACCTTGAATATGCATGCAACCATAGATTTTACGTAATCACAGAATCACAGACTAGTTTGGGTTGGTAGGAACCTTAAAGACCATCTATGCCTAAACCACATTTCTCCAAGCTCTGTCCAACCTGTCCTTGAACACTTCCAGGGATGGGACAGCCACAGTGTCGCTGGACAACTTGTTTCAATGCCTCACCAGCTTCACAGTAAAGAATTTTTTCCTGATACCTAATCTAAACCTACTCTCTTACAGTTTGAATCCATTCCCTTATCCCATTATCACAACTTGTGCATCCAAAACCATCCATCTTTCTTGTAGGCTCCTTTCAGGTTCTGGAAGGAAAGTAGGTTATCCTATAGAGGATGAACCTAGCACTCAAATACCATGGATATGACTAGAACATTCTATTTCACTAATGGAAATAGAAGACACTGCAGCAGCACTGGCCAGTTACAAGGCTAATGCCCTAATCCAAGTAATGCCAGACAGGGAAGGTCCTTGAGCACACAGCAGCCATCGTTTGAATGCATGTAAGCAGGCAATTAGCTGAAAACCAGCACTACCCAAGCATGGCTAAAATACAAATGGACTCATTAGGATGGGCTGGCCCCTGGCAGCTTGCGTGCACATCCATACAGATATCCCACTGGACTGGGAAGCTGCCCTAGCTCTCTGTATGTTTGCTCATCTAATCAAGATGATGATAATGAACTACACATAAAAAGAGGTATGGTTATCATCTCAAAGTTCGTCTAGAATTTAAGTTTTATTTAGACAGCTTAAATCGCAGCATTAGTCCCAAGTGCCACTGGCAGAATACTCAACACTGGCTTTCCACAGACTATGCTGAGTCAATCCCTATCGATAACAGACCTGTAGATTTTCTGGCTAGTCTGCACATACCTGAGACCATCCTCATGCGGAACATGATACTCAGCCCTGGCACACTGGTCTTGTTCTCCTTCCTCAGCTAATCAGGTTGGACATTAGGAAGAACATCTTCACAGAACAGGTGATTGGGCGTTGGAACGGACTGCCCAAGGAGTGGTGGAGTCACTGTCCCTGAAGGTGTATAAGAAAACACTGGAAATAGCACTTAGTGCCATGGCATTGGTTGACAAGATGCTGTTAGGTCATAGGTTGGACTTCATGATCTCAAAGGTCTTTTCCAGCCTGGCTGATTTTGTAATTCTGTCATAAAGATAGGACAAGAATGGGAAGGACAAATTCCTTAATCAACAAAATGGTCCGTCGTTTGTGATGTGCAGTTAACAGATGGCGTTCAAATTAACATTCATATCCTTCAAGCGTCTTATTAAACAAGCCTAAACAGCATTTTAAATTTTCTATGAGCTTGCAAGAAGTATCACAGATTTTACTACTGTCAACTAAAGCTGTTACTGCCTTTTAATGAAGGAGTAACTATATTATGACTTGAACTAAAACAGTTCTGATCCTGCTGTTCAAAGTCACCAGGTCACCTGCACAGACTTCACCTGGAAGATGGAGCACCAAACTCACCCTTTAAAATGCACAGGCAGATTGTGGGCATCGAGACCTTAAAAACACCCTACGATTCCGATTCAAGGAGACAAATCCCTCAGTGTCAGTCCCCGACACTGGGTTCCCTCAGACTTCTGTCCCAATAGAACCCAAGCCTGAAGAGCCATGGGGCACACAAAGGTCTGCTGGCAGAGCACTCCATGCCTTTCAAATGATAGTTTCAGTTTTGACTGAGAAAAATCATGAAACACAGGACCTTGAAATGCAGTAACACAATTACATATCTTTGAGATTTCAGACGTATTATGTGCTTACCAGGGACCACCAGCTCCTGGCCCTCACTCCCTTCATCTCTACCACCTGCATGGTCCCATGCACCTTCCCAGACGCCTTCCAAAACTTGGCAGGTTTGGATAGCTCTGGATCAAAAGGGAAGCCAAATTCAAAGTCATAGGTCTTCACAGAGAATGCCTTGTCAACAACGTCCCTAATTACATATACCCTGACTGGAAAACTGCCACTGCGCAGCTGTGGCAGCCTTGCAAAAAACAACCAAAACCCAGTATGTTTTAAAATACTGTATTCAAGGACACTAAATCTGAGAAAATGACTACAAAAATCAACTGATGTGGTACATATGCTCCAGTATGGGAAAAATTGCTGGTTCTGAAGATTTTGTGTGATCTGTTCCAAAAGTTATATAAAATCAGCACAAAAATGCTATTTCTCTTTGTACAACTCACCCGCATCGGGTTTACAAGCTCTGGATGACTATGCTAAACAGCGCAGGTCCTTACAAGACTCCAGCAGCAGTTTTCTTCTGTTGAAAAAACCATTCCTCTGTTTTAACCAGTTACTAAGCCACAGGAGAATTCCGCTCTTCTATTTTGGCAGCTACACTGCCACACCATGCTCACTCAGCAAGAGCCTCATCCAAGTCAGTGATACCTTACTGAAAGCCTGCTTGAAAATCCACCTCACCAAAATACTCGGATTTGATTAAACCAGCCAGTGAAAGCAGTCCACTCTCCTCATTAAGTGGTATTGGTTCACATGCCCAGTGTTCTCCTTCTCTTCTAAAACTCAAATTTTAATCAACTTGCTGGAATCACCAACCAGCCTCTGTTGATCTTCTGGACGCTTTTCTTATCAGTACTCTACACTCCCCACTCCTCTCCCTTTCACACCACCCAGAATTTAAGGAACAGGTAATGCACTACTGTTGATACCTGGAAGTCCTCATGAAAATCATCTAGCTCTTGCCATTTTCTATTGCTAATTCCAGCAATTTCTTCTAAATCTTTTTTGCCAGTTTTGACAGTTTGATATCGCTGTTAAGACATTCCCAGCACAAGAATACTCCTATTTCCCTCCATAGGAAATACAAGAAATCCCTATGAACTATAATTTCATCTTTCACAAGCTTTCTCTTTTAAAAAGAGATTATTTTCTATCTTAAACAATTTGTCCCTCTTTTTAAAATCCTCTTACCTCACATCTAACTTACAGCTGTTTTTTCTTTTCCATTTTCTCCCTTCAGAAAGGACTTTCAATTTTGTAAATAAAGACCTTTTTCAAAACCTACCAGGCTGCTAAGATGTGTGTCTGTTTCTTTTTTTTTTTTTTTTTTTTTTTTTTTTTTTTTTGATTGTTGCTTTAATTTAGTGAGTTGTATGAATCAGGACCAACAGCACAATCTCTATATGGAACATGACTTTCCATTAGTGGTCAAACAGGGAAACCCGACTTAAAATACATATTACATGAAGTCAAAGAGCACCCAGCAGTTACCAAATAAGAACAAGACAAGTGTTCAGCAAAGAAGCACTAGAAGAAATATTATAGACCCTAATCATAGAAATACTGATATCCATTGAGATTCAGAGAAAAATAGCTTTTCCCAAGACACCTTCTTATAAGGCAGCAGGCTCACATCTGGGTTGCCTGACCAAGAAAGCAGAAGGTACCTCTGGAGCTCATGAATTAACTCATGCAGCTGCAAGTGCCACTATTCAGCATTACTCTGACATTTAACAGGCACGTTGATAAATATGATCTTACGATAAGTATTAGCTAATTGAAGTGTACTCAAAAATAATACAAATATGTGGAAAAAATAACAGCCGGCGTTTGTTCTCAGGGCTTTTATCTCTGCCAAGTGGGAAACTAAGAGGATGAAACGATGGCACTCTGGTGCTCCATCGCGGCCATTCCCCACCCACCCTCGACCTCTGCAAGCAGCGGATTATGTAAACACCACGGAAAGCACCTCCTGCACCTCCGAGAGGAGGACGCAGGCACCAGACCCTCCAGGGGCCATTGAGTCACCCGGAGCCCCGCGAGGGTCACACCCGCACAAACGCTGCATCGCAGCGGCGCGAAGCTGGGCATTCCGGACGGGGAGCGGACCCTCGGGAGAGGCCACCGGGACGGGACTGGGGAGAGAGCACCGTCCTGAGGCCGCCCCGAGACTGCGGGACCGCCTCCTGCCTTGCATCACCCCTCTCGGCAGCGGCGCCTTCCCGAACCCGCGGAAACTTTCCCAGCGGGGCACCCGCGCCCCGGATTCCCCCCGGTTGTCTCCGGGCGCAGCTTTCCGCCGCGGCCCTCCCGCCGCCCCGCAGGGCGCCGGCGCGGCCGGGCCTACGCGCGGCCGGCTGGGCGGCGGCGGGAGGGCCTCGGTCCAGCTCGGCGGTGGAGGGCGCTCACCTGGGCGCACGGTCTTGAGGCGCACGGGCTCCCTGAAGTGCCGCACCACGGCTAGCGTGTCGCGGTGCGTGAGGCCGCTCACCGGCGTACCGTTCACCTCCAGCAGCACGTCCCCCGGCGCCGGCGCCTTGCCCGAGAGCAGCGCGGGGCCCGGCGAGCCCTCGCCGCCCGCGGGCAGCCGGCCCGCCAGGTACGGGAACTCGCCGCGCTCGGCGCCGCCGCGCAGCAGATCGGGGTCGGGGCCCGCTGGGCCGCCCCAGGACACCACGCACTCCTGCACCTTGCTCAGCCAGTGCCGCTTCTTCCGCAGCGTCTTGGACATGCCGCAACACGGGGCGACCCTACCCACCCCGCGCTGCCGCCGCTCCCGCCCCGGCCGCGGCTGCCGCCCGACTGCCGCCCCGCCCCACGCCGCCCCGCCGGCCCCTCCCCGCCAGGCTCCGCTCTTCCCGTCTCCGCCGCGCCCTGCCTCCCTCGCTGACCGCGCCCCTCCTGGCCTGCCGCGCCCCGCCGCCCCCTGGACGCGGCCCTGGGTCGGGGCTGCTGGTCACAGGCCGAGCGGTGCGGGGCCAGGCCGAGCTGGGGCATGTAGGGGGCTTAGACCTGGCTCCGCCTGGACCCCCTAGGAGCTGCGGCACGTTCCGGGTGTGTCCTACTCTCCCGGAAAGAGCCCCTCAGGCAATGCCCCCCTAGGCCGAGATACCCCCTCATCCGGGAGTTCCCCAGCCAGCGCCCGTTGCAGCAGCGTGGCCTATCAGCCAGGGCTTGCGTCGTGCAGGATCTCTCCTCAGCCAGAAGTTCCTCAGTCAGTGCCCATCCCAGGCAGGGTCTCCTGTCACCCAGCATCTCTGTCAGGATCTCTCCTCAGACAGGAGCTCCCCTCAGCCAGGGCCTTATCAGCTAAGAGCCCCCAGTCAGCTCCCACCTAAGGAAGAGTTTACCTTCAGCCAGGGTCACCCCTTAGCCCGGAGACCCACTTGGCAGCTGGGCTTGAGATAGGTGTGAGAGCTGAGGTGGGGTGTCCATAATCCGCTCTCATGTTTGCACTTAGTGCCTGCACAATCAGACAGGCGGAGACGCCACTCCTGTGTATTCCCAGCATTCCCATGGCTACTGCCACTGGAACCAGTTGGTTCAAAGTAGTTTGATGACCTCAGGCCAAAGCAGAACTCAGAACAATTTAAATATAGACATGCAGATACTTTTTCAACTGGAAAACACAAATCCAGTGGGTTTTCTCTTCACATGAGCCTGTTTATTTAGCTGTGATTCACAGAACTCAGCATAGCAATTAACTCATGCCAGGTGCAGATTACACACCAGGTATGCGACATGTACAATCCAGCATTTGGGAGCACAGCACAGCTGCTGAGTAAAGGAAACACTAAAAAGTATGAAGCACAGGAAAGTTCATTCAAAATCAGTGTCACTGCTATAAAAGCTGGAAAATAATTCTTTGAAAGCTTTCTGGTTCAAATTGCAAAATTCACTGCCCAGTCCTCAAATTTTTTTCTCTTAATCAGAGGCTGAATTTTCACTGCAAATCTCTTATGATGTCTACAATGTTTTAGGAGCGTCTTGAAGGCTCCAGCTGTGCCCAGTGGGCTGAAGTCTGTAAGGAGCAGCAGGGCTGCAAAAAAATCTGAGTCCTGAGAAAGTATAACCTTGCCACTGTTTGCAAATAAAGAGCTATGACTGAAGTACTAGTTTCCTTTCTGTAGGAGGAAGTGAAGAAGCTGGTGCCTGCAGAGCCTAAAGAATATTTGCTGAGTTGTAAAACAATGGATTTTTGTTCCCATTGCTGTGTCCCTGTGTTCACCTCAGTCTGGACAACACAGTGTGTTAGAAGTATCAGATTTCAACACTGAATTTTGCAACGATAAATAGTAAGTGAAACCACTAAGAAACCTGCTCGTAACAAAAACCAGTAACTTCTGCAACCAGAAATTTTCCCTTTTCCAGTTCTTAGAGACTTGTCTACCTTTAAGGCCTAGTAGTCTATGTCTTTTGCGAAAAAAAAGGCAAGAATGTTTCCAAAGAAGTCAGAAGAACACCAGTCTTACTTGCTGGGGTAAAACAATGTAATCCGTACTTGTTTTGGGGACATTAACCAAATGCTACAAGCACAGGTTCAGCTCATCGTGTTCGCTGCTATTTGAGGCACACTGGGCTGTCTGCCAACAGGCATGGAAAAAAACACCAGAGGTAAATTTTATTTCACGCTTGCAGAATAGAAGCAAAAAGGCTGAAAGCTTGTGAACTGGACATTAAAAGAGACACTGTCACACTGTTTAAAACAGGTCTTCAGTTTTTCGCATGGGAATTGTGACATCAGGCATGAGCTGTTATTTATGAGCTGCTGATGGTAGCGTTTGCCAGATGTTCCAGAGAATATACAGAGTCCTGTGTAGACAGTGTGGATATCTCAAGGAAGAGATGAGTGTCCGATTGGCTCAAGGGTTGAAAGTTTGTCCCTCCCCCTAGGCAGAAGGTTTGTCCAACCCTCACCTTAGGAAATTACAGCTCAGTCTTTTCACTGGCCAAGACTTCAAACCTTGGGTTGAAATGTGCACTGCATTAACGAGATGAACTAAGAGGACTTGTCATTGTGAATAAAGAAGCAACCTACACAAATACCCCTCCACTACTTCCTCTGGGATGCAGATGATGTGATCAAACACTGCCAATGCCAATGAATGCAAAGAGGGGATTAAAGGCCCAGTTAAACACTGAGGGGAGAGTCACACAGTGACGTTGTACAGAATTACAGCATGGGTTTGAAGTCTACATATTGGATTTAGAACCTAAATGTAGGAGTGTTTAAGTCTAGATATAGAACTTAGTGCTTTGAAGAATAAACAAGGCTGGAGAAATGCAGTAAAGTGCATGGCTGAAAGAGGCAAGCAAGACTGAGTAATTTGGGAAGCGAGGACCAAGTGTGACAGGACCAGTGGACCAGTGGCAGAGCCACTGCTACTGAATTACAGAATCACACATCACAGAATGTGTTAGGTTGAAAGGGACCACAGTGGGTCATCTGGTCCTACCTTTCTGCTTCCAGGGTCATACCAGATCACATGACACTGGATTGTGTACAGACCCTTAATCATCTCCAATGAGAGAGACTCCACACCCTCTCTGGACAATCTGTTCCGGTGTTGTGTCACTCACATATAAAGAAGTTCTTCCTCATATTCAGGTGGAACTTCCTGTGCATCAGTTTCTGCCCATTGCCTCTTGTCCTATTGTTGGGCACCACCAAGCAGAACCTTGTCCGTCTTCTTGGCAGCCCTCCTTTAAACATTTATAGACATGGATGAGCTCCCCTCTTTGTTGCCCTTTCTTGAGGATGAACAGGCCCAGCTCTCTCAGCCTTTCCTCATAAGACAGATGCTCCAGTCTCTTGATCAACTTTGTAGCTCTAAATTTAATGATTGGGAATGGTCTATGCTGGGATAAAACCCTGGCTAATGGGTGTCACAGGCCAGCTCTCCTCTGCATGTGGGACTGACTGGCAAAATACGCTATTCCTCCATTTATTAGGAATGTCAGAAGCTGTTGGTTTGGTGATATTTTACAATTTTTACCATGCATTCAGCCATTTTTCCCCACTTGGGTGTGTTTCTGATCTTCACCTACTAAAATCCTTTGTTTGACCTTCCCCTTGCTGTCAGCCTCCTTCACCAGCAGTCAGTTAGCATCTGTAAGTGGTTCCTCTCTGTCAGTGGTTTTACATCTTTAATAGGATATGAAATATCTGCAGCAACCTTGTCTAGTTTTATAACCCTGTTCATAGGGATTTGGGATAGCTGGCATGGTCCAAAAGCCTGTCCCAGTCTGTCTCATAAAAGTAATCCCCAGCTCGTCTCTGATTCCTGCTACTTTTCAGCAGTTACTTTCTCTCTTCACTGAATATTGGCTGCTTGAGCAGCCTGGGGAAACAAGGAGGACCAGTCAAAGATTACAGTGCAGCATTTCCAGCCCTCTGTGTCTGTGTCTGTGCACAAACTTTTCTGGAGAATGCAAAAGGAAACTCAATTTTCTTGAGAGTTGATGCCCACTCCTGTCAGTCATCTCCTCCCAGCCTGAGTCATCCACAGGAGGTCTGAGCTTGTCTTTCATAAACACCTTGAAATATCTGAGTGAACTGGAACCAATTACAGAGGATTGAGGTATTGTCCTGCCCTCTCCTGTTCCACTAGCCCTACTGACAGAGGAGAGGGGGTCTGAGCTGCAACAACACACTAACAATTCTCTTTACTTCTAGAAGAGAGGATGAAGGAGGAGCAGTGGAGTGTTAGGAAGTGAAAAACAAGTCTCATTCCCTGCCCCTACATTTGGACGGAACACTAGGGTTACCTGTGTGTGCATCAGCCTTCTCCTGGGATTGCTCCCTGTTGTTTGAGGTGTGATTTCAGACTGACACAGATGACCTTTCTTTGACTGCTATTGACATTGCTGACTTCATCACTTTGTCAGTCTTCCAACTGCTTGAACCTTCCAGAAAGCCTCATTTGAGCAGATCAGCCTTGCCTAGCATAAGGAGGACTGCCTTCGTTATTCTGAGAAACAGCTCATGCAGATCTGGTTACATTACTTGTACAAAGCTATATGATTAATACATTCCTTGTCTTTCCATGATTAGTATTTAAGCAGTAGCATGTGAGGGTTTTACACAGTTATTTAGAAAAGATTGTCCCCATTCTTCATTTGAATGTTAATAATGCAGCTAGAGTCTCAGTAGATCTGTCATAAAAAATATTATCAAAGGAACCAAGATAGGTGCAGAATTATTTGCTGTTTGGAAAATCCAGACACATAACACAAAGCAATAATGACACAAAATAACTTTGATAAAAGTTTTACAGGGAG